GAATACAGCCTCCCCCTGCCAGGACTGCAGTGCCCATCCACAGGGTGAGGCCTTAGGTGGGCGCGGCCGTGTCGTTCACTCTGAATGCTCTTTGGGACGGTGCTGCTTTGGGGAGAGGGGGGCCATCCTGAACCTCCAATTTCCCCTTCTTCCTCTGTTTTCCAGGTCTCGCCCCTCCTCCCACTGTGAGATTTCAAACATTAAATGATAATATAACGACCGCCTGTGTAGCTACCGCCAAGCTTTAAGAAATCTTATTGGCGTGGGAGCATTGGCTTTAGATCACTTTTGTTTCTTTTTTACAGAGAGAGGGAGAGAGTAAGAGAAGAACATTTATGTGAGAGAGAAACATTGATCGGGTGCCTCCCATACGGAGCCCGCAACCTGGGCACGTGCCCTGGCTGGGAATCAGACCAGTGACCTTTTGTTACACAGGACAACCCTCAACCAGCGGAGCCACACCAACCGAAAGCTAGATGGCTTTTTTTTTTTTTAATTTTTGTTTAAAATATTACAGATGTCCCTTTTTCTCCCCAATGACCCATTCCACCCCGTCCCACCCCCCTCCCCACCACTGTCCATGTCCTTGGGTTGTGCATATCTGCATATAAATTCTTTGGTTACTCTCTCCCCCTCCACCCACCTGCCCTCCTCCATCCCTCTGACATTCATCAGATGGCATTTTAAAGAAACAAAATGTTACAAAGTTGCACTGCAAGTGTATCCCTCCCCTGCCGGAGAGAACGGGACACCTGTTTGCAGCCTAAAGATACTGTTACTGTTTGAGTGGTTTTAAACATTGTGTCACATTGTATCTAAGCTTCGGCAGCCTGCTCTCGTCATGGCTTCGTGCAGGTCCCCCTCACACGTGGTCACTGCGGATGGTACCATCCGATGGGTACACTAGTTACCTGTTTTCCGCTGTTGGGCTTTTAGAATGTTTCCAATTTTTTGCAAGTGGTGGCCTGGCTGGTCTGGGGCCCCTGGAGCCTGGGCGGAGCCCCTCCTCCCCCCTCCCATTCTCTGCATGAGTAGCTTCCATGCAAGGATCCACACTGACCGAGCACTCAGGGCAGGCACAGGACCCAACGGTCAACATGGAGAACTGCCCCGGCTGGTGTGGCTCAGTGTCAGAGCATCAGCCTGTGCACCAAAGGGTCATGGGTTCGATTCCCGGTCAAGAGCATGTACAGGGGTTGCAGGTTCAATCCCCCAACCCTAGTCGGGGTGAGTGCAAGAGGCAACCCATTGACGTGTGTCTCACACATGGATGTTTCTCTCTCCCTCTCTCTGTCTCTGTCTCTCTCCTCCTCCCGCCCACTCTCTCTGTTAAGCTATGGCTTTCCTTTGTACTTTAGCTAAAACTGTCGGAGCTGCAAGGAGTACCTTGCCCTGCAGACAGAGGTCAGGTTGTGCCTCGGTCATTCTTCATCTTGGACAGGCGGACCCTCGCCTGCCAAGTGGAGCCCGAGCGCTCACCTTATCGAGTGAGAAGACGTAGCCGGTCACCAGCTCCTGCAGCTCAGGCGTGTGGCTCTTGATCCCCAGGAGCACATGCTCCACGAAGAGCGCCACGGAGAAAATGCGAGTCCAGTGGCTTCTGTCAAGAGAGGGTGACCCCCCCCCGCTCAGCTCTGACGGAAGAGCCTGAGATGTCACGAGGAGGGGGCACTGGGGTAGGGAGATGAGCCACAGATTGGGGTGCAGGCGAAGGCAGACTGGTGTGAGTCCCATGCTGTGGGGCCCAACCTCCATGACGTTTGTCTGCCACTCCACCCCTCATGGATGTACCTCAGTGTCACACATTCTTGTCTCAGCCTGTGCCTGGTGAGTCCCACCGTGCCCATAAGGCTGGCACAGGACTTTTCCCCTGGAATGACTGCCCGGATTGCCCCCCAACCCCAAATCCTGCTTGGGGTCCTTCCCAGCTGCTCCATGGGCACCGCAATCCTGCCATGGGAGCACAGCACTGCTCACCTCTCTGTCACCCCGTCACTCCTGCACCCCCTGAATGCGTTTCTTCTGTGTCTCCAGCACCGCTGTGGAGCCTGGCATCGGGTGGGCTCCACAGACATAAGAAGTGAGGTTCCAAGGAGAGGGTTCCTCCACGCAGCGGTACTGGGTCTTCGTTTCCCCCCCGATGTGCCCAGGACTCAGCAGTCCCTGGGGGGCACCAGTGACAGGGACCCTGAGCGCCAGCTCCGGAAGCTCACCTGACTTCCTTGATGATGTTGCTGGCCCTGCTCCCGTGGCCCTGCACGTAGCCGTCAGAGCAGAGGAGCTCCAGGGGTATGGTCAGGTTCTTCACCACCCGCAGCCATGCCTGCGGACTGGGCTTCAGCAGGTCCCGGGTCAGCATCTCGGTACAGGCCACCGCTGCAAACACATCCAGGGTCTGCGGAGATGGAGGGCAGGCCTGTGATTCAGTGGATCCCTCCGTCCCTTTGGCGGCTCTAAATCCCAATGCCAGAGGCCCCACTGCTAGCCTGGTGTGTGCTCAGGACCCCGGCTCGCAGCCTCCTCTGACTGTCTTGGAACACAGCAGGCACCGGCTAGATGTGTCTTAACATCTGAGACGCACCCACGTACATGCCGGGTGCAGGAGTCTCCCACGTGGAGAGGGGCCCGTCAGCCTTCCCCCTGGGGTGGCCTGAGAGCACCTCCCACCCACCCAGGAAGACCGCGCCCTGGCTGGGAGCACTAACTGTCCCAGGAGGGGCCTCACCATCTCAGGTCCGGCCAAGTCCTGGCGCCGTGAGGCTCCGGCTAGGCTGTCCAGAAGTGGGGGGTGGATAGTCAGGATTCTGGAGAAGTTCTGGAGCCGGATCCGAAAGTGCTGATAGGCCAGGTGCACCCACGGGAGAGAGAGCTCCTCCTCGGGGCTTCCCTCGCTCAGCTGGCGGAGGCAGGACCCCAGGGCCATCTGCAGGAACTGGGGTGAGACGCAGGCTCTCAGTGTGTGTTTGTAAATATCTTGCACACACGCACACACACAGATACACACAGACACACGCGCAGCTGGTTTATAACTTTCACTCATTTTTTAAAATTGGGGGATTTCCTTATGGATCCCGAAGAATACTTTATTAATTCATCATATTGGTATTTGTTCTCAAATACGTTGCCTTCCTTCTTTACATCCTGGAGTTTAAAAGAAGTACCGTCTTTCCACTGAAATTTCTGTTATTACCATCATCCCGTAACAGTTAAATATTTGCCTAGTTTTCTTCAAGAGAAACGAAACATTTCAAAAGAAGCAGTTCCGGGGAAATGGGCGGACTTGGTCGTGCTCCTAGAAAGCTCCATGCTTTAGGGGTCCGGCGGGGGCTGTGGGTGTGGCCGGGTGGCGCACACCGGGGTCCTCGCTCTGCCCCTCCGGCCCACGATCTGTCCCACAGCCCCGGGCCTGCGGTCCTCACCTCCAGTTCCCGACAGGTGGACACCCGCATGGTCAACAGCAGGAAGTCCTTCAGGTAGCCCTGCAGCAGCTCCTGCTGCTCCTCCGCCCGCAGCCCCGCGAGGAAGC